GAGCCGCGCGTCGGTGTCCTCCTGCTACGACGATGGCGATTCGGCTGCAGGCTGCTCGGCTGCTCTGCTTTTCCGGCTTGCAACGTTCTGCGCCAGGCTGCGCGTAGGAACATGCGGATTACAGGCTACCCGGATCGGCGCGTCGCAGTCCTGATGCTACGACGCGGAGCCTGTTTAGTTGGAAAACTTCGCAATTGCTTCTACAGGTGTGCCGGCTTGCGCGTAGTATCTCGTTGGGATTCGGTTTGTTGTGCCTTCTGCGGCTTTGATACGCGCGAATCTCTTTGGCGTGGCGCCGCTGCCTGATGAGACCGATTGCAAGGATTAAGATCAGGTACGGTGCGGCATGACACGTACTGCAGCGCACAGCATAGCGCCTCACGATTTTGTCGCACGCGACAAGATCATATGAGAGCGCGTCAATCACAATAAAAAAAATTTACAACCAGATGCATTGTTTGACTGCAAGAAAAGCATCATAAACTTAGCAAATGCTGCATTTGCGGTTTTTTTGGAGTAGCTGAGGATCATGATAATGAAAATTGCAATATTTTTACTGCATTTACAAATTACATACACATGCTGTCAGCTCGATCGTTTTTTGTGTGGAGATAATCAAGTATTTTTTTCAAGAATCGAAGAGCCGAAAAAATTTTTTCTTGCACTAGGCCTGACGAAACAACTTGTTGTGCATATGGAGCGATTGCGCGGACATGTCCGCAGTAAGAATGCAAAGACATGGGCGCCTGTGCGTTGGAAAACTGTTTGTTACACGCTGGAAACCTTGTCGGAAGTGACGAAAAAAATAAAAACGCTGTCCGAGCGCAAAGACAAAAACACAAACTAATGGCGCGAACAGAAGAGCGTCTACTGTTGTTGTACAGCTGTCAAGACTCATGGACATCATTTTTGCCTTTTTTCAATATTTTGACATCATCAAACCCCAGTTCTGCCCGCAAATGGCGCATTTGCAAACTTTAGGATGATTTTTGAACATCAAATCATCTGAAGATTGCTGTTCGTCTGTTGGCGCAGGGCTGATCAACTTGAGAACACTATCAACCTCACGAACGAGTTACCATTTCGGGTATGACTCAACTAGTATTTAGCGGGGCTAAAAATACATCCTGCAGGTTCGGAAGGTGTTCACGTTTTCACAACGTTACAAAGAAACTCTTTCAGCTTCTTGCTCTCTCTTTTCTCTTCTTGTGTAGTTTTGCACGATGAAATTATTTTAGTACGTAACCGATTTCAGTACGTTTCTACCGAGGGGTGCCAACATCGTCACAAACTGAAGCCCGCGCATGTTGTACAGCAGCGCATGTCTTTTGCGCTCACAATTGCTAAATATATCGCGCAAATATCCGCGCCATCGCCCCGCTGCTCGAAGACGAATAATCTCAGATTTGCACAGTAGCGCGACTGATGCTGCATATTCCAAAGCGATGAACACTACATCGAAAAAAACACAACTAAACCAAGGCAAAGCTGAAGCAACAGACACGATTTTTCCATTTCGATCGCGCCTGCTCCGTCACAAAAAGTGCAGTAAGCATGCGTACGAGGGGGCACGAGTAGCCCCTGATAGAAAACAAGCTCGTCATTCCCATCACGGGGTACGCGTCCATCCTGATTCAAAACTACATCCTGGCGACCCATTTCAAAATCCTATCTCTATCGAGCGGCCGGAACCGCGAAATTTTTAAATTTTCCTCGTATGGAAAGCAAAAGAGGCTCTGCATTTGTATTCCGGGCCGCAAAAAAAAGGATAAAAGCAAAAAAAGCCATCTCTTCTTCGCCGCTACCACGAGGTACGCGAGCGCCCAGATAAAAAGGAAGCTGACGTTCCGCAAAATGGGGTACGCGTACCCCCCCGCGGGTGGCGGGGCCGGGGCCCAAGCCGGGCGACCAAGGTCTTCCCGAAATTGGGAAAAAATAGCAAAGCCGCATGCTATGCTCTTCCCGAAATTGGGAAAAATTACAAAAACGAAAGTCCCCGGCCTAAGCCGGGCGACCAAGATCTTCCCAAAATTAGGAAAAAATAGCAAAGCCGCATGCTATGCTCTTCCCGAAATTGGGAAAAATTACAAAAAC